AGTTTATGAAGTTTCTCCTTCATATACTTTATCCATCCTCACAATTACCCAGTGAAACATTGTGAAGTAGTTATTATTACACCAGTTTATAGAAACAGAGAGTCAGAAGTATGCATTTTTCTCAATATAAAACAATTAATAAACTAGTGCTGGAAGTCAAGTTTTCTGAAATCCAATGATATGTATACCACACCAGTGTTTCTCAAACTTGAGTCATGTATATACCCTTATAAAGGGAAAAAAAATACTTCTCACAGACTGCCCCCCATGGGATGGGTCTGAGATTATTTTTATTATAATGTTTATAAATAAATTAATAATTAATATAAGTATAGTTATTTTTATTATAATCTTTCTTAAATAGGCTCAAACATAAAACCTAGCAAACCTATTATGCTTATAGCTCTAACAGAATTATAAAACAACTAAAATAAATAAAAGTAAAGAAAAAATACACATGAAAAGTAAATACAAATAAAACTATAAAAATTAACAGTTTAAAATAACAACATTAATTTAATGTATTGGTGACACTTTGCTGAATCTAAGTCACTGCTCACACAGCGAGGTATTCTGCTTGCTTCGGCACGTGTCCTCCTGAGAGCAGCATCCCCACACGACAGTGTACAAAGTGAAGACAGTTCTCCCACCACTTTCCTAGTATTTCAACTACTCCTGCAAAACCTTCCACTGCTCTGCCCAGCTGGAGCAAATGAATCATTTATGAATTAAGCCTCCATGCCCTGAAATCAACTTAATTATAAACACAAATATGGAGACAGAAGACCATGACAGCACTCTGTCATAAGAAGGTCATTGATATCCAAGATATGTTTGACTTTTTAAAAGATAATCATCTCAAGTAAAACATAAAATTTTTAAATACAGAGAACTTGGAGGCCCCAAGGATATCTGCAACGCTTAGCATTCCTTAAATCCCAGTTTTTAAGAGTTTGATAATTCCAGATACTTTGGTTGCTCCCAACAAGTGTTGATGCCCCCTGGGGAACTCTGTGGCATCATAAGCAGTGCCAGACACACATGCTTGTGGGACATAACATAATAATAATAACATTAATTCAGCATTTTACAGTTTACAAAGACTCAACCACATTATCTTACTTCATCTTCCCAAGAACGTTATAAAGTAGATATTAGTATCACCATTTTACAAATAGGGAAGCATTTGCAGTGAGGATTGAGAGGTTGAGTGGCTTATCCAATGTCATGAAGCTAACTGGCAGCCCTGAGCACTTGGAGCAAGTGTCTTGACTGCCAGTCCACAAACCACCATAGCTGCTTCTCTTTTGTTCTCTGTGAAATTAATCTGACTGACTTACTTTTAACCCCAGAGGAGAACTTTTAGAATGTTCTTCACAGAATTCTGACCTGAAGTCGGAATGACTGTAGTCCAGGGCAAGTGCTGTGATGCAAGTCTATTCCTGCATAACATATACGTTGCAAACTTCTTGATAGTCCTGGCCCTGTTTATGTGAACTGGACCACTGGGCTAGCTCAGATACCTTTTGGGAAGAGTCTGAAATGGATAAATGCACAGCCTGCTTTTGGCTTCATGCTTTGTCTTGATCAAAGAAGGACACAGGAGAATAGAAGAGGACCTCCATGTTTCTTCCTAAAGGTAGCCCTTTCAAATGTGTAACATCTGTAGAGCCATCCAATGGCTTATAAACACACCTTTCTATATTTTCTCCATATGCAAGGCAATTACTAGAATTGTGATGTCTAATATACTAGCCACCAGTCACAGGTCATTATTTACCTTTAAATTTAAGTTAATTAAATAAAATTTAAAATTCAGTTCCTCAGTTACAGTAGCCACATGTCAAGTGCTCAATAACCACATGTGGCTAGTGACTGCCATATTGGACAACACAGATATAGAACACTTCCATCATCACAGAAAGTTCTATTGGATAGTATTGTCCTAGACTCTACCTTATGGGAAAAAATTCAAACATCAAGGTACATAATTCTGACTTCCAGAAAGCTCAGGGTCTCACACACATAAGGCTCCCCTGGGCCTGTTGGCAGGTGTGCTTTGAAGTGGATGTGGGTGATTACTAACTACAGCCATGAAGCACAACTGGAAAGAACCAGAAGACTGAACAAAACTCACACCCACAGCCGACAGCCACAGCCACGCTGCTGATTCCCTCCTCTGTGTGGGGTGTGGCATGCTCACCAGAATGCTGCCATTCGTGTGCAGCACACACAGCCGCCCTGCCTGTCCAGCTCAGCACTAATGGAATCTGTATGAACCTGAGTGTGTGATGATTCATTTCCAGGGCCTCACCAGGTGAGAAGGGATAAGTTATGAAATAAAATTGCATGTGAAGGTCCTCTCCACTCGTGAAGACCATCTACCTCAAAGCCTCATGTCTCAAAATTTCTCTTGTTTAGTATAATTCTTTGGATTATAGATCAGACTCTATATGCCCAGGCTTACAATGTGGAGTGATTGATAAAGAGTAGGAAATCAGTAAATTTATTCCTCCCTGAACACTCATTCATTGATTCATTTATTCTCCCCTCCTCCTGTCAGAGAATCCAAGAGGAGATCCAAGAGAGCTTAGGGTCTGCTCCTGTCTCCACTCAGTGGTCCCCCACTTCAATCTCCCCTGTGATTCTTCACTGAATATTTGTCAAAAGACATAATAAGAGGGCAAAGCTTCCTCAAACCCTATTTTGAATGCAACAGAAAGAGACAGAGACCACCTGTCAGAGATAGACACCCCACCCCAGGTACCAGCTTGGCTTGGGTCTAGAGCTGCACAGGCCAGTAAAAACATAATGGGAACCATATACGCAATTTTAGATTTTCCAGTAGCTACATTAAGAAAGTAAAAAGAAACAGGTGAAATTAATTTTAATAATATATTTTATTTAACCCACTATATCCAAAAGATTATCATTTTGACACATAATCAATATTTTTAAATTACTAATGTGATAGTTTACATTCTTATTATTCATATTAAGTCTTTGAAGTCTGGTGTGTATTTCACACTTACAGCACAGCACATCTCAATTTGGACTAAACACATCTCACGTGCTTGATAGCTACACACGAAGAGTGGCTTCCATACTGGACTGCGTGTGTCTCCAGGAATCTGGCTTTTAGGGGATTTTCTTCTTTGGTCCTCCAAGGAAAATCTAGTTCAGTGAATTCCATTTTAAAATTTATTTCCTGTCAAATTCAAATTCACTTTAGTAACCTGACACATTTACAATATCTATGGGTCCTTTTGTATTTTTATCACCATCCAAATGGTATTGGTAAACATTTCCAGTTACCATAATCATGTTAAATAACACCCAACTCTCAGTCCAGCCTCGGCCCAATATATCTCTCCACCAAATCAAAACACCACTCTCTTATTGTCATTACACTGTAGCTCATTTCCAATTTGTGAATTGTGTTCTACTGCCAACCAATTTGAACTAGTTTTGCAAGAAAAATGCTGTGAACTGCCTTGGGAAATAGCATTTTACATGCCTCTACCTCTCTTCCAAAGGACTTGGCATTCTGGACAGATTTCAGCTCCTTGCTCTAACTAAATACCTGTTGGGTAGAAAAGTGAGAAAAATAAAAATCCAAAGAGGAGCAGGAGTTGAATTGTCTTCTGGCTCCACCAGCCTAATTCTTAGGGAGCAGGGCAATGTTTCATTTTAACAATTGGCAAAAGACAGGCTTGCTTCACCTTCTCTCTCGGTTCCTGTGCCCATGAAAGAAAACCAGTCACCTGTAAACCAACCTCCCCCCTCATTCCTCTAAGAGAAGTAGTGGGAGAATAAAAGCCTAAATGCCAGTTGAACAGAAATGAGCAGCTCAGATGCCAGCCCAACGCCTGCACAAAGAGGTCAGGCGTGAATTTAAGGGTTCAGAGAAGCCAGTTTGAGGGTGTTCGTTTTTTAAACCCTCTATCACTCTCTTTTTTTCCCTAGGAAAAGTCTCGACTTAAAAATCCAGGTTTTTCTTTTAGTGGAAAGCCGACTCTTTCTTAAAAGGCTCAATGGTAGATTGATAGAGAAAATGTGGATGGATTATGGCCCAAGGGCTAAGATGCAGCTCCTGCACTATTGGTGGACACGCACCATTTCTGTGGCTGGAAGAGCCTAGAGTCTTCTGTATCAAACCATCACTGGACTCTGAGGATATCCAACACACGGAGACTTGAATTGCTTGTCCAGAAAATAAAATCTGAAGTCTTTTTGGTTCCCTTGGTGCCAGGGTCTTCCTTGTGGGGCTTTTAGCTCCCAATTTTAGTTTCTACGAGTCCCCTAGAGAGAACTTCTGCTCTCAGCAGACCAGCCTCACTGTTCCCTTCATCCTCACAGGCCACCTCACCACAGATAAGCCTATATCTCAACCACCTCACCTTGAACTGACATCTCTTCCCAAAGGCCTGTGTCTTGTATCCTTATCTCTTCATTACCTTTTAATGTAAATGTTGTCTCCCCACTTAACTGTAAGTTCTCACGTGCCTGAGACCCAAGAGCATGGTTTACTCATCCTTGAATCTCCCCATTGAAGCTAGTACCATGCCTTATTCATAAAGTGCCTTGAATGTATGAATGTTCACAAAAATGACAGTGAGAAATGAGATGAGTCTGCAGTCAAACCATAATCATTTTCCACCACAAAACCCTGTAGCCCAAAACCCTGCCCAGTGCTACTAGGAGGAATTCGTTTCTCAGAGCCACAGAATCTGCTCAAACTGCCAGATTCAAAACCAGGTCAAGTTTTTTTTTAACATTGCATTCATGACCAAGACACAAGCTGCTCATCCCGTGTCTGCCACAATGGAATGGAAGGGAAGTGTAGAAGAAACACAGAGAAGAGGATGACATTCATTTACTCAAGTAAAGACACACACACACACACACACACACACACACACACACACAAAGCAGTGATGGAGAGTGCAGATGCTTTTTTCTCCATCTGTGATAGCAAAGACAGGACTGTATCTCCAGAAGACGCCTCTAGGAGCTAACCGGTCTCTGCTGGGAAGAGGAGGCTCCCGATGCTCCTGTAACTCAGGACATTGAAGTAGTCGTGCGGCTCGGCATAGTCCTCTCCCCTCTGCTCTCTGCAGAGGCTGGCAGGCACCGCTTCTGCCTGGACACTGCTTTCAGGGAATGATGGAGCACTGGGACTCCATTCCTCCTGTTCTGATGGTGTTCTGATGCCATTTTCCACAGAATGGATTCTGAGAGATTTCTTCTAAAAACAAACAAACTACAAAGTGAGTATATGGAGTTGTTATTCAAAAGTTACTCACCAACATGACAGATAGTTAGAATGATCTCCCTCTTCCTTTCTTACACACACACGCAGGCAAACTTACGTTCTTACCAACACTGATTCCCTAATCTTTCGTTTCTCAGCCTTGTCACAGCTAGATTTTGGTACCAAGCACTCCACTGAAACTACGCTTATTACACGGGCCGTGTGCCCCACACCCTGGGACTTCTAGTCACTGAGCCTAGTGAGCAACTTTCAGTCCCAGTTCTCTCTTACTCCTTACTGCATCTGAGACTGTAGACCTCTACCTTTTTGAAACGTTCTCCTTCTCTGGCTCCAACGACATCACTCTCTCCTGATACTCCTCCTCCTCCTGTGAATCCCCACCTTCACCTTCAGCCAAGTCTTCTCTTTTCTCTGCTTACACATCAGCTCCCCAAATACAGGGGCTCCCCAAATTTCTGCCCTCTGCTTTCTCACAGTCAACACTCTCTGAGTCACTTCATCCATATGTACATCTACCACCATCTGTACATGGAAGAGTCCCAAATCTCTGTCCAAATTAGACCAGGCTTCTGCCTTGAACTCCAGACCCAGATGTCCACCTGCTAACTGGGCATCACCACCTGATGACCCTCAGTAAGCCCAGGCTCAACCCGTCTCACACAAAACCATCATGCTCCCTCCTCCACAAACTGCTCCTGCCCCTGCATTCTCCCTTCTGGTTTCTGGCACCAGCAGACCAGAAACCTGGAAGCTAATGTTAAACTTTAATTGGTCATAAGATCCCATCTAATTTTACTCCTAATTAGCTCTGAAATCTCTGCCCTCTTTTCCACCCCTACTTTCATGTCTTATCTCTCACCTGTACTTCCACACTTGCCTGCCTCTAGATTCCCTCTTACCACTGGTCCAACTTCCACATGGCCACCAGCAAAATGATTTTTCAAAAATGGAAGTTGGATCATGCCACGCCTCTGCCTAAAATCCTTCACTGCCTCCCATTGTCCACAGGAGGGTGCTTAACCTCCTGTAGGTGCCACAGGTGGACCGCAGGGGATTTGTAAAACTGCTTAAATGATATAAAAAACATTGTGTAAGGGTGCATTCTTCCGGGAAGTAAGTCCCTAATTTCACTACATTACTCACAGAAGACTATGCGTGATGTCCCTCAAAATGTCCTTTGTGATTTGGGCACACTCACCTTTCCAGCTTCATCTCCCATAGTGTTTCCTCAACCAACACCCCAACTTCTGGTATAGGGCCTGGGTGCCAGAGAGGTACCGTTTATTGAGAATCTGCTATAAGCACACACTGGGCTAGCTTCTTTATGTAATCTCAGCAACAACACTACGGAAGTTTCTACTTTTGAATGAGGTAGTAGGCACAGACAGGTGAAGTCATTTGCCCAAGGACGAATCCAGTTCTGACTTGGGTTCGTCTGACTCCAGGCCACGCTCTTTCTCCTCAGTCAAGTTGCCTCTCATCTTGCACCTTCTTGAATGCCATGCACTGTTTCCTGCCTCCCCGATTTTGTATATGCTACACCCATTGTCCCTTCCCCACAGTTCCCTGAAAAGTTATCTGCTCATTCCTCCAGAATCAGCTTCACAGCACATTGTCCAAAAAGCCTTCTCTGACCCTTCCAGGAAGATTATGTTCTTCCTATGTGCTAGAATATGGTCCTAGAGGTTCTCTGTTGTAACATTCAGTGCTGTCTGAAACTTACTGATTTACCCTTCTGTCTTCTCCAGGCCCCAAACTTTGAGTTCCCTGAGGGAAGAATCCAAGCTGTATTCCTCTTTGTAAACTCAGAGCCCATAACACATGCTCAAAATATGTCTTACGACTGAAATGCGTGCACACACACACACACACACACACACTCTTCCTCAGCTCCATACCTAAAAGAACAGGATTTTCTAAATCAAAGTAGGAACTCCTGGTCAGACAACTGCAATTACACTTATGGGACAATAGGACAGACAGCGAAATCTGTTTGCGACAATCAAGGATGTGAAGTCAGCCGTCACATCTATATGAGAGCATCAGAGGTGAGGGTTGTGCTAAGGCAAGGAAATTGAAGAACAGCAGGCGCAAGCAGGATGGCAGAAGAGATGCCTAATGACACCCAGTGCAAAGCTGACACCCTCTTAGCCTTACTGAGACTGCTCTAAAGCATGTCACTCACCCCTACCATAGGTCTGAATGACAGAATCACAAAGAATCACACACAGGCTTGGAAAATAACAACAAGCACAAACCAAACCTCATTCTGCGCCCCCCCCCCCCCCCCGACTTCTTCCAGGATAGGAAACAGCAGCATCACCATTGGCTAGTGTCAAGCTGAGCAGTGCGCACATGTATGCAGGGAGGCTGGAAGGGAGGGTGGATGGGGCCGCATGGATGTGCACCATAAACAAATATCAAAAACTAGGGGTGGCAAACACTGCAGGCCCTGAGGAGCTGGGCCTAGAGAGAGGCCACAGTTCCAGAAGCACACACATGAGTCAGGAGGTCATGCCACATGCACTGTCCCATTCATGCCTTTTCAGTAGATGTGGCTGCACCTTACCGTAGGTATGAGGAAAAGGGTGGTTATCAGAGATCAGGACAATGCTGTGCTTAAAGGACTACATCCCTAGATGCAACTCAATCCATTTTGGCAATATGAATATCCAATTCTTTCTCGAAGAACTGACTGTGACCTTTTGTGTTGGTGTGTTCTTGTTCCCATTCTTAGACTGGCCACCCTTGCCTTGGAATCTTAAGACTATTTGGCTTCCAAAAGTCCTCTGGGAAATACAAAAATGCCTGAGGTGGGTCCCTCAGCTGTTCCGTTTTCATTCCCTCCCTCTGTAATTGTGATCAGTGTAAAAAACAAGTCTGGAATTAAGGCACTGATGTTGTCCTAAAGGACCAAAGGGAGCTACGGCGACTGCAGCTGGGTCCTGCCAGGACAAACATTGCTCTCTGGGAGGACGTGAGGAAAACAGACAGTTGGCAGTCATTATCCTGGAGATGGACATACTCATGTCTCCTTTCCCTCACAGAAGGTCCCTGCGGCACTTTTCCCAATAGCTGCTTAGCAAATTATATTCATGCATTTAGTCATAATAAATCCATGCAATATAAATATTTATTGATCACCAGGTATTATGAGGTGCTACAGTACATAAAATTTATGCTAATTTTAAGAAATAAATAATAGTTATTAATACATGCTTGGAAAAATACCAAGTGCCTTACATGAATTATTTGACTTTTAAGTTTTCCCACAACCCTATGAGGGCAGCACCATCATTATTCCCATTTTACAGATGAGGAAGCTGAGGCTCAGCAAAATTAGGGGACGAAGCTACTCAAGCGGTAGACCCAGGATCCAAACCTAGATCTGCCTGATTCCAAAGGCCATGCTCTTAAATAATGCCAGCTACTGGCTCTCGGGGTCTGTAGAGTACGCTACGGATGCTCTGCTCAGATTCTCTCTACCTGGCCAGTGCTCCCATTCCCCAGACACTGGGAGTATAGGCTGTGAACAGCTCCTAGCTGCCCCTTCGCTGAAGAATTTCTCTTGAGCCCTCCTTGGTGAGCAACCAGCAGTCAATGACTGACTGAGGTGGGCTTCAAAAGGCCAGCTCCCTGCTTTGAGATGCGGCCAACTTTACACACAGTTCTTGCTTCAGGCACATCTCCAGCTGAGATCACATCAAGCTGAGCTTTCTTCCCTTAGCCCTACTCTGCTTCCTTCACTACCCTTCATCTGACAGCCCGTCCTGATAAATCCCTCTCACCAGAATTCCCATGTCAGGCTCTGTTTCTGGAAACCTGATCTAAAACACTTGCTCCTGGGACAGGCCCTAGAAGGCAGACCCTAAGGATGGGATTGTGGAGGGGAATCCTTCACCAGCTGGATGGGAATATTGACCCCACCACTGGTGGTGAAGTGGGATGGGACACAGACAGAGGGGATCATGAGCTGGTGCAACATCTCTGACATTTGAGAGGTATGGGGTAAATAGTGATGATTAGGACTGTGGGATTGGGCGACTTTTACTAAATTCCACTGATGCACTGAGGAGAGAAGACGGACAGGCTCAAGATCTATCAGCATCTGAAAGCAAGTGTGAGAGTCAAAGCTCCTCCTTGGAAGCATTTAAAGAAACCTCACCCCCAGCACTGAAAACCAGGCACAGGACCTAATTGTAAGAGAGTCAGAACTACAAAGAAGGTGGATTCTAAGCCTGAGCAAGTCTCCGATGCCAAAATCAGGGTCTTGGTAGGAAAGGAGGAATCTTTGTGACTTGGGAGGAGGACCTCTGGGTAGATGGACTTGAGAGCCTTGAGCCACCTGCTTCTCTTGTATCATCCGGAGCTGCAGAAGTGGCCCACTCCTCCTAGATGGGAGATGGGGCCCTGTCAGGACCTCTACCTCCTCTACTGGCCATTGGCCCCAAAATTAGGGTAAAATCGCAGCCTACACTAACAGAGGGAATGCTAAGCATGTTAAGGGAGGAAAGAGCTTATAACTAGGACCTGACTAACATGTACTGGCAGGAACCGGGAAAGCATGTTTGGGAGTGAATCCTGAGGGTGATGGGTCAGGGCTGGGTGAAAAGAATATGAGACTGAATGAGGGATAATTTGTTGATATTGGAACACATCCCATGACTCAAGATTTAACACCCTCACAAGGGCCCCAGGAGACAAGTCTAATATACTGCTGTCAATAAAGAGGCCAACACTGCTTTGGCAAACTACGGAAGAAAGAAACAAAACTCTCAGAGAAGTGAGAATGCTATAATGGACCCATGTAAAATAATAAGAAACATATATAGTGGTCTCTACCCCCAGTTCCTTCTAATACTTGGTCTTTAACCCCAGTTCCTGACACAGACCTCCTTAAATCCCTATAATTTCCTGAGTAATAGAAATGTCTTACACAGGGCTCCTAAATCCCTTTGAATTTTCTGGGTGAT